AAAGTCTATGTGCCACAGCAGATGGGAAGAAAAGAAAATATTTAAACATGTTGGAAGAAGGGGTTGTAATCGAGATGAATGACTCCTTTTGTATGATAGAAACTATATATTGATGCTACTGAAGGTTCATTCTATACCTTTTATACCGGACTTGTTTCCAGCATTTTCCGAATTCAGAGGCCACTTGCAGCCTGTCTTGGGAAGAGACCTCTAAACGCCCAATTTGAGGGCCCAGTGTTTGACGGAGCATAGTCTCACATGTAACATACCTGTTTCCATTGACACAAGGACGGGTTCACAATCGTGTGACAATCTGAGCGTGAGACTATCGCGGTTGTTGTATAAAGCAGCCTAGAGTGTTTTATGTGGAATGTGAAATCGTTGAAGTGGTCTCTTGTTGCTACGCATACAATTGGGGTGATGTACACGGTTCAACTGTATCAGCAACTACACGAGTCCTCGACCCTCATTGATTGTATAGTATTGGATGTGGCTCGTCTCGCGTAAGGTCTCTGCCAGTGCGACAGCAGTATCAGGACTAGCCCTAAACGCGATGTAGCAACGATCACAACAAGGGCTGCGTGGACTGGTGCCAAAGAGGGCTGTACACTAGTTTCAGAGAACTACCAACAAGTAGATCACGGCGCGATGGCGCAGTTTGGAAAATCTCTGTGGGTTTGTTCTCAGATCTCAAAGGATGCAAGACATGTATGGAAGGTGGAAGGTTCTCCCAATGTGATTCTAATGTCGGGTTGGAATGATTGCGCGTCACTTTCCGGACCATTCCGACCTGCAAATGTCTGCGTGAAGCTCGAAAGTGTCTTAGTTGCAGGGACAACTGACGAGATGCAACGAGCTTTTCCCATGGATGCAAAAACAATCCATCTAAAAGTGCCGATTTGGGATACTGCTTGAGATGCAGAGGATTGAAGTAATTGCGCGGCCAAGGGTACAAGACTACACATGGTAATCAGCGTCGATTGCGCTACATGGGACAAGTGAAGCACTCCATTCTAGAAGCAAACAACGCCCAAGGTCCATAACGGCAAGTTTGTTTGATGGATATAGTCCTTGTGCTGGTACACCCATATGAAGAACACGAAGTGTAGAGTTGTTTGCAGGTACCACAATGCTCGTACACTACATACAGTGCGTGTGCAAGAGCCCCAAAAATAATATGTAATATGAGTGTCCTCTTCGGCCAGTTTTGTTAAACTCGTAAAGGCGATGCCCTGCAAGGCGAAGAAATAGCGTACCCTTACTGTACAACGGGCGCCTGTGAGTAAGTTTGTTCTTCTGGAGCAACCAGATGCTTTCGACGTCTGTCTGTCGATGATCACAACCACGTGTGGTTCGCCTTGCTGGTACAGGAAGCATAACTACAGCATCACAAGTGCTGTCTGTACATTGCAGTGTATGACCTTAGCGTGACAGAGCTGTAACTCCAGCAGTGAAATTATGTGGCCCATAAGGCATCTTATGAAATCCACAAAGCATGCAACGTCACAACGGGGGCCTTGCGCATGATGGAGAAAGAGAAGCTGTTTGTTCAATCGTTACCCCCACCTTACGCACAACGGCTGTCGGCCTCCGCAACCTGCCGCCCCTGTGCTCGATGGCGCACCACCGCCCGGTCTCGCGCAACCGGCCGGCCTGTCGAAAGTGACGCGTCCTTCCGTCAGCGGAAGAGAGGCTGCGGCAAGGATGTCAGTTAAGGTAAGCTTTAGCTTTCTTCTTGTTCGCCTATTCTTCTCGGTTTCTTGCCGTTTCTCAATTCAGCGTCTCGTCCAGAATGAGACGGAGCCCCATAGAAGGCCACAAACTCTTCTAACACGTTCTACGGCATAATATAGCATAACTGAAAATCGTATTCCACAGCTGTACAGGACCTCGTGCCGCAACGATTCACTTGTTTTGAATTATAAGTGTGTTGGTTCTTTGACAAGCTTGGCTCGCCACGGCAAATCGTAGGCAAATCTTTACCGTTTCTATTGTTTCCGATTTGGAATAGACAAAGAAGTGCTACTTCGAACCAAAGTGTAGAGAGAGGGGGAGAGAGAGAGGGCGATAGGGAAAGGGAAAGGGCAGAGACTACGTCTCCGTCTCCTGAGACTATCGCAGCTCTAATTCAGTCATGCAAGTAAGGTTTGGGTACTGAGGAACGACTCAATATGATACAGCACATCCAGGGCGGCAGCCCATGCATATATTGGAGACGCAAAACCTACGATTGATTTACTTCGCGGGAATCACCATTCACGCATGCCGGACGGGCGCCTTCGCAACTACAGAGATGCGGAGACTGCGGTATGCGCGACAGCGAGAGCGGAATAGACCAAATTCAACTCACGCGAAGTGCCGCGCGATGTGTCGCACATGCTGCGCACTTCGTACCTGGGGTCGCTTTTTGAGTCCTCTATGTCCGTGGCCCGTGCCTGTGTAGTAACCACCAACCAAGATATCGAAATCTGCTGCGTCCCTGTCGCAAGCGAAAATGATGTCCTCCATCAGATCGTCCCTCGTGTTAACAAGACGAACAAACCAAATACGTATGTCACGTTTGCGACTGATTTGAGGTCGATTGCGTCAGATCTTATCACTTCTTCCGTCTCGTGCATTGCGTGGATCAAAGCGCAAGTTGGCTATCACGATTCTCAGGCCTTCACGTGATGTGTACAGTACCGCACCTAAACCTCTGTGCTGTATTCGCATGCGTGCTCAATATCCCGTGCGCGTGCGTGAGTACTCAGTATAATGCGCTGCCTCACTGCAGCTACGGACGGCAACTCCAAAAATGCACAGCCCTGTACCTACACGGGGGAAATGGGTAGTAGAGCTCAACAAGAACTAGATAAAGCAAATGTTTGTTCAGCAACGGAAGTGATCATGTGGTGGACACTGGCCGTTAAAGAGAGCGGCGGCGAGAGCAAATGTGCAGGTTTGTCGAAGAATGGGGAAACACTGATCATAGGCTGGGGCATGATAGTGTTTGATTGATGTTCGTGTGATGCAAGTTGACGGCGCGAGAGTTGACGACGGATTGCAGCGAAAGTAACTGAAGCGGTACTGTACTAAAGTAGACTGCACTTGTCACCTGTGCTCCTAGTTACACTGAACGAAATCTTTCTGTGACGTCGTCAGACCCTCGAGCACAAACCTGGCGGACGGGTGTTTGGTAGGGAAAGGAGGCGGAAGCAAATGTGGATTCAAAGGACGAGCGCGACACGCATACTCCAATTGGCGGTTGCCGGATACAACTCTAGCGGAGTGTGCGCCGTAGGGCGGGTAATGGGCGGATGCTAGAAACGTGGAGCGGTAGTTACAGGTTAGACGTTGATTAACATGTGGGGGCGACATTAAGTTGCGCAATTTTCGGACAGGAAAGAGCTATAAGATATGTACTGTATTGCGGTGTGCATTGCAGACGGTTTGGTTTGATACCAGGGCGGCTCTGCATGGGGCCAGGGTTGTCGTGGAAGCAGGGATGATGTAATTCTTCAGTAAGTGAGGGTGTGTTAGTCTACACTCATGGTAGGATCTCGAAAGTGCCCTCGCTGTCTCTCACTGGACGTTGGTTTTGGACTGAGGGGTGACGTTGGACTTGGGAAGACAATCAAGTCAGTTTTTATCTTTACATCAGAGGGAGGCGACTATAGAGTTGACTGTTGCCCGTGGAAGAATGGTACGAAACTCAGCATCGATTTAGAGGGCCATGCAATGCGCATGGGCAAGGCGTATGCGGGACGGAGAAGGTGGTAGACAAAGCGATCGGGTGTAAGTAGCAGCAGATAGGGTCGCTTTTATAAAAAAAGGCAACCCAAGTGGATAGTTCGATGAAGTTTCGGGGAGGAAATGGAAGCGAAACCAGGACGCGTTATGGACGGTGCGGCAGTCAGTGAGGGGCAGGGCAACGGCGGCGTCGTGAACAGGCCTGCCAAGGAATGTGATAGAGCACCAGTAGCCAAAAATGAGGTGTGAAAGGCGGATAGCACGAAACAGAGGCAGGTGGCCAACGGCTGGATGCCTTCTGGGCCCGGAGATTTGCATGGACGCGTGCAGGACCGGTACCGGCAGCGTGACATCACGGTGGCATGTCATGCAGAGGATCTGTCCCCAAATATACGTCCAATCAGGCGGCGATACGCCTCGCGACGATGGTCCCGTGACGGCCTCCCCGTGGCCCACTCGCGACCCCGCTTTCATTGGTGTTGCGCCATCGCAGCGAGTCCATCTCGGACAAGCACTTCTGGCTTGTGCGTTGCCGCTCCGCTTGCGAAAGAGAACCCAACCCTCCTATCCAATGCGTAACCGATCAAACGGAGAACCCTACACATATGCGCGCTGCCCTTCCGCTACTTGCGAGCTCGTTGCCCCGCCTTGCGCTACCTCCTCACCACTATGCATCCCCCTGTCTACAGTCCTTCAACCAGAGCATCATCCAACCCCATTCTATCGCAATGTGAGCGTCCGCCGCCCTCCCTCCCCACCCCCGCCCCTTGGCCGTCCTCTCGGATCACACCCTTGCTATTGCGACACTACCCTGTTGACGACAATTTATACCCTCTTCCACGGCGCAACTCCCTCATCCCTCTTGGCATCCCCCTTACGCTCCATGCAGTACAGTACCTCCGGAATTTGTAACACACTCCCGCTATCTCCTTGCGTTTTTCTCCTTTCTTTCCAACAGCTCTCCTGTATTGCAACGTGTAGCCCCGACACACGTCCCAGCTATGAACACTTCGTCACCTTGCACCATCCTTTGTGCTCTCATTCCTTTGTCTATATCATACATTCGCCCACTCCTCCTTCCCTATTTTCCTGGCAAACGCCCCGCACTATAAAAACCCGCTTTGGTCTCCTCACCGCACTCGTTTCCTTCCCACGACCGTCTTACTATCGACCGTGCTCGCTCCCCGGTTCACTGACTACTTCAAAGCGGTCGTCCAGTGCCGCGAGCCAACCCCCCCTCCCTCCCCTACTCCCTCTCCCCATTCCACACGATGACTACACCGAAGGATGCTAACCCGGACACCAACGCACAGCCTGCGCCCGCCGAGCCTACCCACACCTTCGCCCTTCCCGTCGACGAGAACAACAAGGCTACTTCCATCAAGCTCTGGTCTGTCAAAAGGCCTCACATGCGCGCATTCCACTTCGCCTGGTCCTCCTTCTTCTTGGCTTTCTTCGGATGGTTCGCCCTCGCCCCGTTGCAGAAGGGCATCAGGGACAGCCCTAGGACGCCCTGGCTCAATGGCGACAACTTCAAGGCCCAGAACATTATCTCCGTGGCAGGTACCCTCCTCATGCGTCTCGCCGTTGGTCCGTTCTGCGATCGCTTCGGCCCGCGCCTTGCCCAGTCCATCCTCCTCGGTGTGTTCTCTCTCCCAGTGTTCCTGGTCGGCACATCGCAGAGCTACGCCCAATGGACGACCGCCCGTTTCTTCATCGGGTTCATCGGCGCCACTTTCGTCGTGACCCAGTTCTGGACGTCCCTCATGTTCTCTGGTAACATTGTCGGCACAGCCAATGCGACGTCCGCGGGGTGGGGCAATTTGGGAGGAGGCGTTACCAACGCCCTGATGCCGCAGATCTTCAAGGGTATCCGGAGGTCCATCGGCTTTGAGCCGAGCGGACTCGTCGATTCGGACGGCAAAGAAGTGAAGTCTGATTCGCAGCTGGATGCTGAGAACAAGGCGTGGAGGTATTCCCAGATCATCCCGGGTGGCGCTCTCATCATTATCGCCTTGTCTCTGTTCTTCCTCTCCGACGATCTCCCCGAGGGCAATTACGCCGATCTCCACAAGGCCGGAACCAAGGAGAAGACCAACCCCTTCGTGGCCATGGGTCGTGCGGCTCGCAACTGGAGGGTGTGGATCCTGTTCCTCCTCTACGCCGGGTGCTTCGGAGTTGAGCTACTGATGAACCAGAATTTGGCAACGTACTTCCAGGAGCAGTTCGATGTGGAGGCAGGTCTGGCCGGCCTGTTAGCCGGTCTATTCGGTCTGATGAACCTCTTCGCACGGTCCCTCGGCGGGATCTTCTCCGACGTGATGGCGAAGAAGTTCGGGCTGCGCGGGCGCCTGTGGGCGTTCTTCTCCGTGCAGCTGATAGAGGGGTTGCTCTTCGTGGGCTTCTCGCGGCTGCGCGGCAACGTGGGGGTTGCGGTCCCGGTGCTGGTGTTGTTCTCGCTGTTTGTGCAGATGGCGGAGGGCGCGACGTTCGGCATTGTGCCGTTCGTCGACCCGCCCGCCACAGGCGCGGTGTCAGGCATCGTGGGGGCAGGCGGGAACTTCGGGGCCGTAACCGGTGGCTTCCTGATCGAAAAGGGGGCGGAAGGGACGGCACGCGGGTTCATGATCCTCGGGTTCATCGTGATCGGGACGGCGATGCTGATCCCGCTCCTCTGGTGGCCGCAGTACGGGTCGATGTTCCTCAAGCCGTCCGTCGAGACCAAGGTGATTGATGACGACTCTGCGGAGGCCGAGGTCGAGCAGACCAAAGCGTAAGGGGGACGGGGGCGGCGAATTGGCCCCGCTGTGAAAGCGGCCGATGTGTTGTCGGCGCGTAGCTGCTCGGCACGATGGGCGCCGTTTTCTTTTTTCGCAGGCGGTCTTTCACCGCGTGGTTCTGGCGGTTCGCTGCGAGTGCATTCTCACGCGGAGGAGTAAGTTGTGTACTTTATTAAACAAATTATATTTTTGCCGAGAAACTCAGTGTTTGTTTTCGTAAGAAGGAGCTCCTCCCCCTTGCTAGTGTCAATCCAACCGGTGGTTGTACTCGTATGAGGAGAGTCGTTTGCAACGTGCTTGTTTTCGGCAATAACTTGGTGCAGAACGTCGGGATAGCTTAGCTTTGAATGCGCAGAAAAATTAAGAATGTAATACTAGGGTTTTTTTGGTTTGGAAGTCATTTTACATGCGGTTTGGAGGTGGTTTAAAAAGGTTGTTTTCTAGCTACTACACGTAGTGTCTATCGAACCGCGATTTAAGTTCAGTTCAACTAGAAATTCATCACCACAGGTAAAGCGCCTACTCGTGAATTCTAGCGAAAGCGATTCGTTTATGCACAAAGCTGTTCAAAGTTGAAATTTGCAGATTTTTATGTTATGATAACGCATGGTCGACTTTCTACATTTGCAGTTTTTAAAATGTATGTAATAAGGTTGTCCGTAAAGTCATGAAAACGCGTGTTTTGGTGGCTTGTTTGTAACGCATGGTCGGATAAACACTAGACATACCCTTCGAAGGGTATCTAGAAACGACAAGGAAGAGGGAGCAATTCTCAAAAAGTTGTTTCAGGAGCCAGGGCAGAAGTCGAGTACACGGTGGCGGGGGGGTATCTTTTTCCTTATTGTCGAGGAAGCGCAAAACAAGAAAGAAAGAAAAGGAAAGTCGAAAAATGTCCTCATACAGTATCAGAGCAATGGTCCGATATACACGAGAGGTACCCTTCGAAGGGTACGCCCTTGCCAGGTACGACATGTGTGTTCGAGAAAAGAATAACCCGGACAGTTTTTGCATGCCATGCGGCCATCTCACATGGCAGGGTTTCCTGTTTTTCGCTCCCGCGCAGTGAGAGGGGAGTGCGGTGCATGCGGAAACCAGATTGCTTCCTGGTTGCTCCACTATGGCGCACAAGTACGGTAGTCAGGCACACGCTACCAAAGCAAAGGCGGGCGTCTGCAGTGCACAAACGCGGCGCACCAAGCGACCGTCACGCGGGTCGCCGCTGCCGCCTCCACGACGGCGGCGGCAGCGGCGCACGACGTGTCCGCGCCGTCCGCGGCGCGCGCCCCTTCGCGCGCCTTGGCTCCCGCGGCGTCACGCGACCTCTTCCATGAACGGGTGCACACGAGGCCACTGTACGGACGCCCTTACTTCTGCCACAGAGAAGGAGCAAAGCAGCGGGGGGGGCCAGGCGTCGCCAGGCGTCCTGTGCTACGGACCGCGTCTCACGGGCGGGCGGCGGGCGCCGCGTACGTGTGTGACGTGGCGGGGCGGCAGACGGCTTTTCCCGCGAAAATGGCGCCGCGGAAACCGCAACGCCGCCTCGCCGCGTTTTGCCGTTTGCATAGCTCCTGGGACTGTAAGCTGGGCATGCTGACTCCGACTCGGGCGACTGGGAACCCCCCGTCTCTCTCTCGGAACGGCTCTGACAAACGGCCCTGACGGGCCCTCAGGGCCGTTCCGAACGAAGAGTTCGCGGTGCAAGCACCGTAGCACCCTGACATTTGGCATGAATGGATTGGTTATAAAAAATTATTGGAAATGCTTTCCTCCCATTCAACCAATCCATTCATGCCAAATATCAGGGTGTTCGGGTGCTGGCACTGCGAACTCTTCGTTTCGTTCGCTCGGAGTGTTCCTGAGGAACACTCCGGACGAGGAGTTCGTGGTGCTGCGCCTCCCCCCCCTCCTCGCCCTCGTCCATGCCGCCGCTCCCCGGACCCTCCCCCGTGCGTCTTCACAACTTGGTCGCTATCGCAAGTCGGTCGCTACCGACGACCACCACCCGCCACCCGCCTTCCGACCCCACGCTCACGCCCATCTTCTCCCCATCTCCTCACCACGCCGAGAAGATGCCACGCCGAGAAGATGCCGCTGGATCCCTTTCGTCCCCAGCATTGTTGGCATCGACCGACCGCAGCTGTCAACATCCCTGGTGAATTCGTTTAAGAAATAACTGAAAAACAATTATTGCATTGCCCCCGCAATTCCCCATCCGTCCCTCCAGCACGTATCCCTCCAGCACATATCCCTTCAACGAGGCCTTCCGAAATGCCATCAACCTTGTACCAACCCAACGCTCCCACCCCTCCGCTTCCCCCTCCCTGCCCCCATCCACCATGCCGCCGCAGCACACGCGGCGGGTCGCCATCCGCGACCTGCGCTGCGGTCAACTAGGCTGGCACATCGTGGGCACGTGCGTGAGCAAGTGCAAGTTCAAGGACTACGGCGACGGAGTGCTCTCGTACTTCCGGCTGCAAGACACCCCCGGCGGCACCGGCGGCACCGGCGGCACCATCCGCGTCACGGCCTTCAACTTCCCCGCCGCCCACGTGCACGCCCTAGTCCGCGTCGGCTGCAAGTACCGCGTGTCCGCGGGCGGCGCCGAAGTGCGCCACGCCAGCCCGGACTTTGCGCGCGCCCACACCTGCGAGCTCAACGTCTTCTCCGCGTCGGCCGTGGAGCCCGTCGCCTTGGCGCCGCCCCGCGCGCCCGCGCCGTCACACGACCCCGCCGTGGTGCGCGCGCTGCCGGACGTGCGCGCGCTGCCCGCGCGCTCGCGCACGGCGCTGCGCGCCCACGTCGCGGACGTCGGCTGCGTGCGCCCCCACCCGCGCTCGCGCTACGTCACGCTGTGCGACCCCGCCTCGCGCGAGACCATGCGCCTCAAGCTGCTCGCCGCCCACGCGGACGAGGTGCGCGACGACGACGCCGCTGCCGGCGCCGCCGTCGTCGTCGAGGTCACGGGCGCCCTCGTCTGCGCCAGGCCCGGCGCCGACGTCAAGGTCGAGGTCGAGGCCGACGGCAAGGCGCAGGTAGCCGTGCACCGCGGCCGCGCGCCGGAGGAGCCCGCGGCGCCGCCCGCTGGGAGCCCTTCGCTGCCGGGCAGAAGGCGCCGGGAGGCATCGCCGGGGACGGGTGCGGGAGCCGGCGTATGGCGGGGCGGGGGCGGAGCTGGTCTGTCGTCGTCGCTCTTGGATATGGGAACAGCGTCTGGCGGTGAGAGGATTCCGCGATTGAGGGTGGCCACGCTCTCGCCGGAGGTCGGGCCGTTGCCGAGTCATTTCGGGCCCATTGACAGCATGTTCAGGTCGGGAGGCAGCGCACTCGGAGATGCAGCGCCTTCGACGCACGCAGTACGACCGATAGACATCCGTGGGGAGAGCGTTGCGAACACCGCGCATCCGGAGGCCACACCCAGCCCGCCGTCACAGCTGCAGGGCGTTGCGTCCAGTGCAGCGCGCGGTGCCAACGCGCAGCGACCGACTGCTGCGACCATGGCTAACGGGAGGAAGTTTTCCGTGTTCATCAGCCATGCCGGGCCGGACAAGAAGAAGGTCGCCTTGCCGTTGTACAACCAGCTCAAAGATCGGAAGATCAGCGCCTTTTTTGATAAAGAGGAGATCCGCCCGGGCGACACCGTTCCCGACGTCCTCAAAGATGCCATGGAGCGAGCCATCGTCGGCGTCTTCATTCTCTCGCCGGAGTTTGCGGCCCGCAAATGGCCGATGAGGGAAGCGCACCGCTTCATTACCAGGCATGAGGAGGCAAAGGGTAGGGGGGAGCCTTGGCCGGTCATCATTCCCGTCTTCCATCGCATGGACGCGCAACAATGCAAGAGCTCCGAGTTTTACTCCCTCCTGGGTATAAACAGGGAGGAGGTGTTTTGGTCGAGCGGCTTTTTTGACGACGATAGAAAGAAGGAGCGTTCGACAGAGGATGTGAGTCGGTGGCTAACGTTCCTGGCAAACAAATCTGGAGTTTATGAGCCGGAGTATAGCAAGGCAGCCATGGAGGGAACCAATAGCAAGCTTGTCGAATGTATCGCAGACACAGTCGTCGCGTCTTTTAACAATATAATCCAAGACCTTGTAAATTAGTAGGTGGTCGAAAGCTGGGTGGAATTCTGTTATGGAATACTGTACACGTAGTCTCATGAGGTGCATGTACAGTGCAAACTTGCAACGACAGGGGTGTCTAATTAGGAGAACGTCTGACTCCTTTTGAGCAACAGCGAGCTCCATGGCCGCTTAGTTGGTATCTCGCAACGCTTTCGGAGGATCGGATGACGACTCAGAAAGATAGAGAGATGCGATGCGCTTGCGGCATGGGTTTAGTTCAGAGAGGTACTCTCCCGCAAATACTGGCCCCAAGTTTCGCTTCCACGCTTCGACAAACGCTCAACAACTATGGTTCTGTGTCAATTCTTCTTGAAGAACCTGTGTCGCATTAACAGCGATTTGCCCCAATCACGCTGCATGAAGTGCAGACTATGAAGTCCCCACTCTGGCGTGGAGAAAGGAAATGAACAGAATCTAAAGCACTGCTACATATCATCAGTGAAAAGAGAAACAACACAGTGGTAAATGCGACTAAGAAAGGATTTACTAGGATGGACTTAGTCACACTCTACATTCTGCCCTACCGTTGGTTCTTCTCTTACATGAAAAGGGAATCCCGAAGTCTTCCTCTTGTGCGATTGCCATGGTCAATCCACCTGAGGCAGTATCAGGGCAGACTACGCAAGAAAAATATTCGTTCTCATGCGTCACGGCTGGGTTTGCATTCTGTCCCTCAGACACAGACAGCGTTGTGAGTATTGAGGCAATGGTGGTAGCGGCCATCGTTGACTCCAGTGCAAGTTTGGAGGCAGTAGCGGCACAGAGCCCGATGCTGATCGCAGTCTCCAACAGTTCCGCGATAGTAGACGCACCCAAACCAGCCCGCGTCGCAGGCTTGCTGTACGGTCTGCTTGTCAGCCACGTCAATCGCCTCGTTCG